ATTGTTTATTATTATATCAAGTGACATATATGACCGAGGAGTATGTCGAATTTTTACTCCGGGAAATTTTGTATATAAGGTGAATCAACATTTGATGAAAAGCTAGATGAAAATCTGATACAATGAAGAAAAAAATTCAATTCCCGTTGGAAAAAAATGTAAATGAATCAGGACTATCAGGAGTATCCCTCCATTAATGTTTGGTTGTTGGCAACCAAAAATTGTTATTTTGTATTTGTATTTGTAATAAATACTGTTTTTGCTCTTCGTTTAAATCGACTCCGGTTTACAATTCTATCATTTCAACTCATTGATCCAGTATAGTAGCATTAACAACATGCACACTTTCAAAAATGTCCAAACATGTACTATAACTTTCATCATTAGATTTTCACTGATCAGAAACAGTATAGAACAGCTATTCGAAAATTATTTATTACTCCGCGTCTTGGGAAAATGGACTATGAAGCTTTGTTTTTATATTTTTGAGACAGAGTATTAAAAAAAACAATTTTTTCAAATGAATATTCATAGATATAAATTTCTCGTGCCTTTCTATATGTTCTTTGTTATTCTTCAGACTTTCCCTGTCTATTACAATACAATTTCATGTCCTGGGAACATGATATATCTATTATTTAGACTTATTTATTCAGACTGGCCCAAAATGTATTCACAAAAACTATTATTACTCATCAAATGGTGAAACAATATCATTAAAAGAGTTTTACAAGCCAATAAAGCCAATACTTTGTTGCTTTTCCGTCTGTATAGTTACGCATCATCATCAGTTCATTTTTCTGTCATTAGACCCAAATATCAATGTTTGGTATTTTCCATACAAAGTCAATGTTGAATCTTTCGGAATTCCTAATGTTTGCGGTGTGCAAACTGTTCAGAGAAAATCTCACAATGAAATGTTACTCAAATATATCATTTTGGATTATCAAATATGGACCAGCTTCATCACATATGATACATAATACGATTCACAAAAATATCTAGCGGCTCACCAAAGTTAACATATAAAATCCATAAACCATCAAGCATATAGTTCAAAAGATAAGACTTTCAGAAATCAAAAATACTGCCTTGAATATTTAATATCATGTTATTATGGAAAATCCTGTATAAAGCAATTTCATTTTATTAACTCAAAAACTATATTAAACTAGGTGATATAGAATAAAGCACCTTTTTGCATGGCCGACTCGATCTCTTTCGCAAATAAGTAATTATAATCGTCAGCACATTCAGCGCCAAATGTTCCATTATGATACATAAGTCGTTCAATATACCGGAATCGCAAATTCTTTCGTAATTGAAGTGTGGTACAAAATGCATTAAGTGCGTATTTACTCCATTTTTCACGCTTCTTGAACATGAAGATGAGGTAGACACTTTTTGAGATTCTAGCAGTACTTCTGTTATGGGAAAGTGTTAAAAGTAGTAACAAGAGAACGTTGCATCTGGTTATGGAATCGAAACGACCTTCAACCTTGTTTAATTTCAATCTGAGTTTATCATGTTGATCTTATGGAACATGCATCGCAAATAAAACTACCCGGTAAACATTTTGTTTGTATGCGTCAAAAATGTCTGTGAAATTATCTAGTGGTGTGACGCTTATAGGGTAAGGTTGCCCTTATAGAACCAATTTTTTTGTGAAAAGCATTCAAAGCGAGACACAAGTTTCTTAAATTCTACCGGAGGCAATCTGAATTAAACCACCAGTAGCACAAATGGAAACTTTCGATGAGCATTTGTTAACAAATATATACTTATGATGAACTGTTTGGAATTTTTGGTGTAATAATGAATATTACTGGAGTTTTTTTCCCCAACACCAAACCTTTACTTCAACATCTCGACGTCTTCAAGAGGAAGATCAAAAATTTAATCTTCCTCTTGAAGATGATCACTTGGTGATTGAAACACGTGCTAAGGTGTTAAAATAACGGTTTGGTGTTGGGAGAAAACTTAAGATGACCTCCATTTGATCATACATGAACAAAACAATCATTAGGTGAATTCAAACTATTTAGAATAATGAAAATAGAGAAATGAAAATATGGAAGAATTAATATTTTCACAAAATGAACAAAACGTCACTCTGAACACGACACACAAAAAATGTGTGTCGTGTTCAGAGTGATCTACTTATGATTTGGTTTCACGTCTACACAGTGCAGTGCAGTGGAACCATGACTTGCAGACCCTTTTTTGTGGCTCTCGATCAGTAGTATATTTCAAACCTTTGAAGGGCACAGTAAGTGTTTTTTCACATTCGATTCCAAGGTTGCTTTATTGAGACTACTAGTAATTTCTACTACTTGTATGCCTTTCCAACCTTTTTTGGGAGGCTTGGTCGGAAATGACGACTTTCACACTAGTAGAAAGGATGTTTATCTCAGTAGACGATTTGTCAGCGATCTTCCTTATAGAATCAACTGGTGAAGATGTCAAACTGTGGTTCTGGCAGCCTTTTGCCAAGCATTGATAGAGAAATATTGTCTCCTTCACTCTACTCATCATTAGAACAAGGATAAGTTTTTACTGTGACTGGAATCTTCATAGGAAGCATTTAGGGGATTGTACAATCTTAAAAATCAGAATCTTTGAAGACATGCATGTTAATAGGCCAAATCCTAAATGTTTTAAAACCATTCGATCGTAGCTGTTCTATCACTGGCTTCATTGAGAAGCTCAGCAACTTGATACTGTTCATTCTATATTGCATCTTAACTATTTTTCAGATGCTTGTGTATAGAAAACCTCTAAAGGTTTTAAAAAATCTGGATGTATGGGTTGTATTTCCAGGTATCTGTATCATTATTATTCCGTTTTTTCTTGCTAATAGGAGGTTTTCAAATTTTTGCAACGGGTAGTGTGTCCATCCACAATGAAACGTATGTTCTTTTTGTTCGATTGATGACCTATTCATTTTGTAGAAATTCATATTGAATATAGGATAAAGAAAATACTGTTTCGGTTTGGTAGAACATTTTGTCAAGACAAGTCTTTAAATATACAGTGATACAGTGAGGTTCATGTAATAGGTACCTGAAATAACAAATGTTACCAGAATTCTCAATACCAGTACTACAATAATAACTAATTATCATCTACTAGTTGTTGCCCGCTGCTTCACCCGTTAGAATTTGGTTTGTCACATCAAGTTCCATGACATCATTTAAACAAATAGTTACAAAATTTTTTTATCAACCCAAAACTTCAGGTTTCCAACTTCAAAACGAAATTCAATAAAATCTTTGAACACCTATTTTGCTCCTTGGGGGTGGAAATTCCGGATTCCCTTTCTTGATGCTTATTTATGTTATACAATAAACCTACCCTCATATTTCAAGATTCAGTAGCTTCAGCTGTACGTTAATATAAGAGCGGGCAACAGATAGTAATTTATATTTTCACTTTAAAAATGAAAATGAAATAACTGAAAAAATATGCCAACTGCACCAAGTCATGAATAGCTTCGAGAATCGAATTATGTTGCCTATGAAGAAATTCGCAAAACTAACACAACCGTCGACGACGTCTGCCCTCATGCGTCTGCTCGCGTTCGGGTCGCATTCTCGGTCATGACGCTTCATTGCTTAGACCGACCCTCTACCCCTGCGCATCGTCCCTCGTCGTCTCACAGTAGACGCGACGTGTAATGGCTTATAGCGTTGCGTCATGTAAATCTTGTCGTGATACCTTTCAAACGATTCGTCCAAATTACTTAGTGTAAAAGACAAAGTTTATCTGATGCTTGAGGCAACAATTGTATCAATTTTTATAAGAATTTGATAGATAGTCTCAAACGTGCAGTGTAAAAAAACTATCCAATTCAATTGTATTTATGGCTCGGTATTTTGCAGATAGTGGCTACCACATGAGAGGTAGATATATGCTATCGCGAACTTTTATTTGTTACTATATAAGATGAACAATATTACGGTTCATAATTTGAATGTAACTACAACTGTATAGACAGCTCTCGCCAAGATAGCTCTCAGGAAGCAAAATTTTTCCGACTAACATCATACTTATCATTATATTTTGACCAATATTACACAAAACCTTTGTCAATTGTAACCTATATACTATTCTGATGTGAAAGCTGTATTTATGTAAAGTTTTATCTGAATCCGTTCAGTCGTTTAGGCGTGAAAGAGCCACAAACATACATACATCCATCGTCACAAACTTTCACATTAATAATAGTATAGATAGATAGATAGATAGATATAGTAAATATAACAACTCTTAATTCCCAATTTTTTTAGCTACCAATGGATTCTAAACTAGTTGTCAAAATTCAGAAATTTGTGAATTTTGACAACATATATATGTTCTTATTTTCCAGTAAATGAGAGAAGTTTTTCAATAAAATCTATTGACAGAGGGACTTTAACTGAATTTAGCCTCGTTTCAATAAAATTCAGAGAAAATGTATTCTTCTTTATCCTCATTTGAGATACTGAAATTAAATGTTTAACTAACACTCTCGTTACCATCTGACCTGATAGACCACTCACCATACAAACTAATCGGCTTCCTTAAGAAGCTGGGTTTATTTGGTCGAGTGTGAATAGGTGTGAGCCACAATAAACCCGAGCGGGTTGCGGTGGAGGGTCGAATAGATCCATTCACTTTATACCTAACCTAACCTAACCTATCACTCTCGTTGAGTAAATGAATTGTGAATGAGAAAATGCAAAATGAATTACTTATGAAGTGCATTTTTTGAATAAAAATAACTGAAGAATATGTCATGAGATATTCATTCGTTTTTTATGGTAATTCAGTTCATTACTGTACTAATAAGTCGACAATTTTTGATATTTGCCAAGCAATATATACCTGAATTATTGAATAACTGAATATAGATGATGAACTGACTCTCCCATTAATCTAAAATTTTTTGCAAATGATTTTTTATATATTCAAATTTCAAGTGAATCAGTTTGTGTTTAACATTTTTTTCTTTGTTTCAGATGATGCCATCTCAAAATGCCCATCCTACTTCTAAGAGAGGACTCCTCCACATCTCTTTCCACACTGGTGGAAAAAGCCCAGAAAAAATCGACCCAACTGCTCGAATACGATCTTCAACTCAATAACAACCACCTTGATTTAGTATTACTTTCCAAACCCGATCGAAAAATCAACTCAACCTCTACGGACGAAGGCTTCGAGTCGGACATTGACAATTATTCTTTAGTTTCCAGTGATAACGATAGTTTCACCATCGAGAAACCAACTGAAAATGGCTCAAAACCTACCACTGAGACTGACTCTGCCAACGGTTCCTCTAGTTCGGACTCGGATACTGAAGTTGCAGACCCGAAGCAAGCCGAAACGCATCCGGAACCCGTTAACCCAGACTTCAAAGTGGGCCCACTCCTCAACCAAGAGAAAGAGAGTTTCAATCTAGTCGACTGCGTGTGTTACACCGACGTCAAATGCACTGATATCCTGATTTTCGTCATCAGGAAAGAAGCACTGGTCTTCAAGTTTGACAATATCGGTCACCTGAAGAATTTTTACACCAACTTCACCACCCTAAAAGCAGTTGCCAATCAGAAGGCTTACAATAAAAACCTCATGACAAAGTTCAACCTGTTACAACGAACTGACCATAATGGTATAACCCATATCGAAATCACCAGGGAGGCTGATATCAGAGCAACAAAAAATGAAGGCCCGAGTAGTATCATCAGCATCAACACGCCAGGCGAAATTTTCGAAAAGTATGCCAAACATAAGTATAAAGGCGCCAACTCAAGGCAGAGAACGGAAAGCCAGTTCATCAACGACATCAAATACAATACTATAAACTCAAAACTGGGCCCCAAAGCCAGAATAATCACGAAATCCAATTCCATAGAGAATATCTTGGATCTGGACCAGAATAGAAAGTCTAATCTAGTCATCAAGGATAGCAACCTCAGAAAGATTTGGAACAGTGCTGAGGACTTGTTGGAACCTCCGAAACGCCCAGATAGGCGGAAGAAAGGAAAGGCTCCGCAACCTCCCAAAACCGTTCAAGAAAAGCAGGACATTTTTAGCGGCCAGTATGTGAGAGTGAGTGTTAATTTCGACCCCGTGAAAGAGCTGGACAAGAACAGGTTAATCATCAAGAGTTCCTTGAATGAACCACATCCAAAAAAGCTTCAAAACTTCAATATTTTGAGTACCAAGCCTAGTCTAACATCGTTTCTCAGGTCAAAAGAAAAGCAAATTCTCAAATATGAACCCAAGAATCGAGAATCGGACACCTTGAATAGATACAAGCCCATGCCAGAGAGCAGCTGGACCAATTCGGTTCCTCGACTCCTGAGGAAGCCTAGGAGTAAGTCGGAAACTAGGAATTTCGTACCGATGGCTTATAGATATATCGACACTACACAAGATTACCCACTTTCGTACAGTACAAATCATATTCTGGAAAAACCAACCGGGCTTTTTTCATGTCACAGTCAAAACGTGGCACTCTCCAACTATTTGAGGGGTGAAAATTCTTCACCGAATATCAACAATAGGTTATTCGGGTTAAGCTCAAAGTTGAGGGATTTCTCGAATTCGGAGGACGGCAAAGAGAGCAGGTGGGGAGGGGGTGGTGAGACTAATTCTAGTTCTAGTAAGGACACTAATCTCAAGAGTGTTATTAAAAATAACAGTGAATCTCAGAAAAAGAAAAATGAAAAAAAGGTTACATTTAGTGCTTACACCACGGTGCAAGTTGTTTAGGATTTTATCCTCTTCATTTTCGAAAATAAATTGATGAAATATCTGCTACTATAACTTGGAATTGGAACGTTGATTTTGACTTATCGATTATTACATTTTTCAGAAATCTCCGTATTGGTAATAAATAGAGTTTTTCACGAAAATTAGATTTGAAGAAGTTTTAAGGTTTTTCTCAGTGAAATACTAGTTATGCAATTGCCTAAATTATTTGACACAATCTATTGACATGACGTATTGAATGCCTTTTTTTGTTTCCAAAAGTGCCTCAGACAATAGATTTTGATTTTGGTAATTGATATAGTATTTTGATAATGAGCAATATTTTTCAGGTATGGTAGTTATTTTACTACTTCACCAATGATTACATTTGTTTAACAAGTACTTTTTATAGAAATTTCTATATGAAATCTAGCCCCTAAACTTGTTTCGTCATACTGTTTCAACGGCAATCAACATTGTTGATGACAAACTGAATCGATTTCATGAATTTGTAAATCTTCTTGAAGGAGAGTATGACTTTGTGAGTCAAGCAATCAATCGGATCCAATTGATTGCTTGGAGTTCTTGGACTGATTCAAGTTACACTGGTAAATATTCTTTGAAAAACATTTATTGTGTAGCAGTCAATTTTTCTTACTGTGTTTTGGGTATTCAACATTTCCATACATTGAAAATGAACAATGAAATCAATAGAGAAACAGCTGAAGTGTGATAAGGGGGAAAAGTTACTGCATATTTCCGTATTCACGAATTTTTTCTACATGTGTTCAGGGTAAACCGTTCACTTCAGTAGATTCTCCATTGGTTTAGCTTTTTTTGAAAAAACAAAAACAGTGGTATATCTACTGATAGGAATGTAGACATGACTCTCTGTAAGGCTGTTACCATTAATTTTTTCCATGAGGATCACTCAAAGTTGCTCTTGCGAATAGTTTCGGTTATGGCATAGAGAACGGAATAAACCTAAATTGCGTTTTCACAAAGGCTCGTACCCTATGAAAAATTTATGAATAGCAAATTATGCTATGATTTTGGCTCTGATATCATCTAGTTGTTAGTTTGAAGTTAAAACTGTAGAGAAGTATAAAGCAATTTAGCGATCATCTTTTTGAAAGTGAAGGTCACATCCGTAGCACTAGGATGTTGAACCATTTTTCGAAGTACGAAGTACGAAGTCCTCAATTAGTGATGTTTGGACAATATACATCTTCCAAAATACGGTCAAATGACCGTATGATCAGAATGATCACGTCCGCTAAGCAAGAAAGAACATTTTTGAATTCAAATAAATCGCCATATTCAAATATTTTCAAGGATAACGTTGCCATATACATTCCTAGAATTGTTTGTTGAATTAGGATTCAGTTGATTTAATGAAAAATAGTGCTGAGGGCAAGAGTTTCATATCTAATTTGCCAAGCTAATCAAGAAAATATCGTAACATTTTTGTAAAAGAGAGAGGTGAATTTCACGAAGCTTCGTTGGTGAAGCAACAGAATAACTTACTTTTGGTAGTATTACAAAATTAGATGTTTCAATGAATAACGTCATCGTCCTATTTCAAAAAACTCAAGACTTAGAGGACAAATATACCTATGAACTTCTTCATAAAAAACCACTCAATATATTCTTAAAATAATGATTCAAAATTCACGTTTGAGATATACGTCACATCTTTCAAAGTTTGTCTTTCAAGATATCTTTAAACAAATCAGTTGTTAATATTCATAAGAATGGCAAGTAGTAAGATCCATTACACAAAAATCTACACAGATTTATTGAAAACTCTCTTTCCTCATCAGAACAAAAACGCTCTCCCTCGATGCGGGTTTCGCTGACGAAGTTAGCATCATCAGTTTTAGTCATTTCCTGATTATACTAACGCGAAACTCACGTCGAGCGACAGCATTTTTGTTCTAGTTAGAGAGAAGTGTTTTCAATATATTCATTTCACACCAGAGATTCCAAATTCTACTTATCAATAATAAGATATTTCAGTATTGTAACACAAAATTTTTCAAAACTATTAATTTCATATTTTCTCAGTAAAATATGAATTTTATTCTCAAGGAAATACACACTAATATAAAAACCAACATTCTCGTACAATATTCATTGTTTCACGATGAATGAAAATATGGACATAGTATTTTTGGTATTTATTTTTCCATCATGCCTTTTTAAGATATAATTTCACCTTCAGTTACATGAATTCTTCCCAAATAGCCTGTGTCTTGTTGATTTCTCTATTATCTTTATATGATTCAATAGTCTCGAATATGCAATTGTAAGAGTGTAAACGTAACTCATAAAACATGTATCATATTGTTGTATACCTATAACCATAAAACGTGTACGTAAAAGCAATTATCTGTGTAAATGACCTGCTTAATGTATATATGTAAAAATTATTGAATAAAATTTTATGTCTGAATGCTAGTGTTGATTTAATCCTCTCGTGTTACACAAAATTTCAACAATGCCTCCTGTTAGTTGTTACTTATATTTCAGGTTGTAAATACACTGTATGTTACGTATTGTTCATTCACCAGAAAAACTTTTTTTTTCTATCATCCTGAAAATACAGGCAACTACAGCGAAAGGTAATCGGCGGTTGTTTTATATAATTTTGTATATTCACGAAATAGCAATACAAGTAAATAGGCACTATCACCGAAAAATGTATTGTCAGAAAAAATTAATTGATTGACAAAACAACAAGTGCATTCTCAAAAATAATGAGAAAATTCTTATATTTTATTGAACTAAGTTATCGATGTGGCTCGCTTATGTCGTCAATATTTTCTTGGGGAGAGTTCTATCATTTCTCTCATGTCGCTTGAGCGAGCTTTCCGGAATTTAAAAGAATCACTTCGGTGAACTCTAATCCAGGCCAATCCAGAACTGCAATACCTTGTGCTATAACTAATCTCCTTCCTCCCTTACTACTTTGAATTGAAAAAAGTTGAAAAAAATAATTCGAATTCATTCATAATGATTATTGATTCAACTTCATATGTCTTTATTCTGTTCACATTTCAAATGATAACTTCCGAAAACTGAAGATATTTATACATATTGCTGTCTTCTATATGCCGACGTAAATGAATTCAATTATATATTCCAAACATTCCGTTGAACTCCCATTGTAAGTGGTTCAAAGATTAAATATTCTTAACGACCCCATCGTGTTCACTTTTCAGAACAACTCCGATTGGTATTATCAGTCCAAAGGAATTAGGAAAATATGAACATTCTAGAAAATGAATATTACTGGAGTTTTTGCCCAACACCAAATAGTTATTTTTAACTATTTTATTATTTATTTTTAACACCCCGACACGTCTTTCGATCACCAAGTGATCATCTTCAAGAGGAAGATTAAACTGTTTAATATTCCTCTTGAAGATGATTATGATTGTGTGAATTGAAGGTGTTATATTTTTAGAAGTGATTAATTTTTTTGGGAAAGAAAGTTTTTGGCTTTTTACTACTCCATCTGATAAAAAAAAAGGGGATGAGAGAATCTTCCAAAGAAAGGAAGGAAGTAATCAATTTGAAAATAAGTAACTCCATACATGGATGTGTAGATCATGCAAAGAAGTAACTTTTAGACACAAACTGAAAGAAAGTCCTCCTGTAACAGCTACTTTCATATAAACATTGAATTACACGAAAGAAAAAAAGATTCTTTCGAAACAAATACTTCTATATGAACACTGAATTATACAGAAGATACTTTTCTCTACTCAGTTTGCATTTTAAACATTCGGTTGAACTCCCATTGTAAGTGGTTCAAAGATTAAATATTTTTTTGTATCAGATGGAGTAGTAGAAAGCCAAAAACTTTCTTTCCTAAAAAAATTATGAATATGATTATGATATCATCAGAAGACAATATACTTCTCTTTCTTCTTTCTTCTTCTCTCTTCTCTTTCCGACAGTTGACTGAATTATTAAATTGATATGTGATGGAATCGACCGATACTTGATGAAAATCCAAAACGAACTCAAAATAGACTTCATTGTGGGATTTTCACGGAACAGTTTTACAAAAACGCAACACGAGTTTCGCTTCTTCATGCGTATCTATATCTATTCTCTTTACAAGTATATCGAAAACGTATGATTAGAATACGAGCTCAAACTTTGAGCACTGCCCACTAGAGTGATTGTGCATCTCAGTAGAAATATCCTTATCCAAAATTGACGATCACCAATAGAATCTGAGAAGAATAATTATGATAAGAAATGATGATGCTAAGATGTGATTGAAACTAAACATTTTTCAGTGGCCCGTTAAGATTACACATCCACAAGAGTCAATTCCATTCGTGCATTAGTGTTGGTACCGTTTTAAATATATTAAGTAGAAAAACCCGCGGAGTTTCAACTTTGACGGAGAGCAGATGTCACTGCATCTGCGCCAATTATGAATCAGTCCGCAATTCATAACTGATAAATAATTGTATTGTTTTAACAGTTAGAACGATTCTCACATATTTGAGATTGTGCAATAGGCCATATTATTTCCATCGGTTAATGTGACAGAAATACAAATACACATCAAACCGACTTCGTTTGGATGTTGAATAATTGGTAAATTTACAAAATTCCTCGAAGAAATGGGCGAATCGACAAGAATATTTTTTGCGGTTTTTTGGGTGTATAACCTTCCACAATCTGAAAAATGAACAAAGCTAAATCAATAGAGAATCAACCAAATTGTAGTAAAGGTCAAACTAAAACTTTACCCCACAAAGCAATTGCGTAATACTACTGATGAGTCCAATTGTTCATTAATATGTCGTATTCATTTATTTTGCCTACAAATTGAATAATCAATAGAAATTAGATATTTTTTACATATAGTCAGTGGGCATCCTTGAAGACTGGCTATAAATCAAATCATCTAAAAGAACAATTCGTTGAGGCCAGTCTCAACTCCCTACTCTGTAGGTTAATGGACTGACATCAAAAAACAACTACTCCCCTGCCTAATACCACGAAGGGAGTTGGATTATATCCGATAGGTGTCAGTGCAGGATTCTTCACTGAAGTTATTCCTGCATATGATATTGGCGATACAACTGCCGCAATAGATTTTCAGTTACTGGAGCAAACTTGCAGACCGGTTTCGGGCTCTATGGTCACTCGTCAGTGCAAGGCAGTGTCTATCATCAACATAAAGTCGATAACTTCCGATAATTGAAAATCGAATTCCTTCAGAGTATTATTCCTTGAACTAGGCTGAAGCGGACAACAAACAACAAGGTTTGTTATCGCCCCATCTGCCTGTGAACGAGGTAACTAACCGCATATCCGATATTTGACCAATTCCTCGTATTAGGAAAGAAAACTTTTCACATATAGTCAGTGAGCATACTTGAAGACTGGCTATAAATCACATCATCTAAAAGAACAATTCGTTCAGGCCATTCTCAACTTCCTACACTGTAGGTTAATGGACTGACACCTATCAGAGAATAACCACTTCCCTGGCAATACCACGAAGAGTTTTCAAAAACCGCACCTCGCGATTTGATCTCCACAAACTTAATTTGAAAAATATCTCACAACATGTTTCGCTAAGACACTAGCCTTTTCAAGTGATTTATACTTCAAGTTGTTCTTACATTAATATTTATATACTACAAGTAATCATAATTGAGACTACCTCCAAAAAATTACCTTAACCTCTATCTAACGTACCTGTTCAATTATGATCACCTGAAGCATATTACCTCACATTTACATCAATAATAATTCTTTCTCGATTTTTAAGAAAACAAGTTCAATAATGGTGATCTATTCAAATCTAGTTGGTCATTCATTAGAATGTTTGAATTTTTAAGTTTATTAATTTCCATTGCTTCCAAATGATTCAATTTCAAAACTTTATTTTCTATGTGCAAAATTTCGAACTCTTCGTTGAAGATATGATTTTTTTTTAGAAGATGATTTGAATATGTTGAATTTGTTTTCTTATTCACATAGCTCGTATGATGTTCCTGGATTCGATTCCTAAATGTCCTGCTAGTTTGACCAATATATACCTTAGGGCACGTTCCACGCTTCAATTTATATACTCCTGATTTCTCGAATTTGGATGTCTGTTTAAAAAAATCTGTTTAAAATCTGTTTTTCCGTTAATCAGCTGACGCTGATCAGCGACAGCTCTCAGAAGTTTAGAGCTAAAGACTAACGAGGTCTTTTAACGTGGGATTCCTAACACGGTTGCAGAATCATCTCAGCTTCAAACAGATAAATTCTCTCGAGAAAAATATCTGGTCGAGCCAGAAATCGAACCCACGGTCTTCCGATCGTGAGTCGGGCGCACTACCACCGCGGCCAATTCCACAACTCTTGTCTTGTCTTTATTATTTTTTTTATTTTTAACTAACTTCTATGGATTACTATGGATCTTCATCAAGTAACGGCCGAATCAATCAGAAAACCACGAAGGTTGTGGATTATATCCGACAGGTGTCACTCACTACAGTTCACTGAAGTTATTCCTGCATATGCAACTGCCGATACAACATGAGAGTGAATATCAATAATATATGTTTATGAAATGAAATAGGAAACGTCTTTTGAAATCAATCTCATATATCTTATTCCCGTTATTATACCGGTTATCAACGAATCCATCAGCCAAGTCATAGCTTCTAGAGTATCAAGTATATCAGAAAGAAATTTTATGAAAGTAAATGGTATGTGAATGGAAACGTTTTCACATACTTCTCACTTTCAGGTCACTTTCAGTTTCACGTAAAATGACTCATGTTTAAATAAAATACCCTGTATATTTTCATTCTGACAATTCTGAATCAAAAAATTACATTTTGAGAAGTTTTCACGCCTACCTAATTTGTTTATTGTCACTTTCAATTTTGGATGTAGGTGGTCATGATGATTCATGAACTACTTTATGAACTTCGAGTAATATCAGAAAATGACAATCGTAATATAATTCACCGATAGTAATTAATTCAGGTACGATTGGGAAAAAATGAGAACATTAATCAATAATATTGAATAATTCATTTACTTTTGTCAAGTGTGCCATGGATAGTCATGATGCACAAATTTTGGAAAATAAAACACCCGTCTTACGTAAACAAAGACATAAGCTTCATGAGCAGACATTAAAAGTTCTTAACTTTTCGGGCTTGCTGCAAAAGCGAGCGGTGCGGTATTTGTGCCAAGTAAATAGGTTGAGTTCCTGCAAACCTCTTTTCCTGAAACACGGAATACTGACATCAACCTCAATCTACGTTTTAGAAGCTACATGTCTCATTTACAAGAATAAATCTTTATATGAAAATAACAATCGCACTATGCGAAATGCAATGAATTTATCATTAATCATTCCCAAATCCACACTGTTCAAAATCTCAATAATTTACGTCGGTGTTAAAATGAAGATAT